GAGACTGATGTAGGTTCAGAGAGACTGATGTAGGTTCAGAGAGAGACTGATGCAGGTTCAGAGAGACTGATGTAGGTTCAGAGAGAGACTGATGCAGGTTCAGAGAGACTGATGCAGGTTCAGAGAGACTGATGTAGGTTCAGAGAGAGACTGATGCAGGTTCAGAGAGACTGATGTAGGTTCAGAGAGACTGATGTAGGTTCAGAGAGAGACTGATGTAGGTTCAGAGAGAGACTGATGTAGGTTCAGAGAGAGACTGATGTAGGTTCAGAGAGACTGATGAAGGTTCAGAGAGACTGATGAAGGTTCAGAGAGACTGATGTAGGTTCAGAGAGACTGATGTAGGTTCAGAGAGAGACTGATGTAGGTTCAGAGAGAGACTGATGCAGGTTCAGAGAGACTGATGTAGGTTCAGAGAGAGACTGATGCAGGTTCAGAGAGACTGATGTAGGTTCAGAGAGAGACTGATGCAGGTTCAGAGAGACTGATGAAGGTTCAGAGAGACTGATGCAGGTTCAGAGAGAGACTGATGTAGGTTCAGAGAGAGACTGATGTAGGTTCAGAGAGAGACTGATGCAGGTTCAGAGAGACTGATGTAGGTTCAGAGAGACTGATGTAGGTTCAGAGAGAGACTGATGCAGGTTCAGAGAGACTGATGTAGGTTCAGAGAGAGACTGATGTAGGTTCAGAGAGAGACTGATGCAGGTTCAGAGAGACTGATGTAGGTTCAGAGAGACTGATGTAGGTTCAGAGAGACTGATGTAGGTTCAGAGAGACTGATGTAGGTTCAGAGAGACTGATGTAGGTTCAGAGAGACTGATGTAGGTTCAGAGAGACTGATGCAGGTTCAGAGAGACTGATGTAGGTTCAGAGAGACTGATGCAGGTTCAGAGAGACTGATGTAGGTTCAGAGAGACTGATGTAGGTTCAGAGAGACTGATGTAGGTTCAGAGAGACTGATGCAGGTTCAGAGAGAGACTGATGCAGGTTCAGAGAGAGACTGATGTAGGTTCAGAGAGAGACTGATGCAGGTTCAGAGAGACTGATGTAGGTTCAGAGAGAGACTGATGCAGGTTCAGAGAGAGACTGATGTAGGTTCAGAGAGAGACTGATGCAGGTTCAGAGAGAGACTGATGTAGGTTCAGAGAGAGACTGATGCAGGTTCAGAGAGACTGATGTAGGTTCAGAGAGAGACTGATGTAGGTTCAGAGAGAGACTGATGCAGGTTCAGAGAGAGACTGATGTAGGTTCAGAGAGAGACTGATGCAGGTTCAGAGAGAGACTGATGTAGGTTCAGAGAGAGACTGATGCAGGTTCAGAGAGAGACTGATGTAGGTTCAGAGAGACTGCAGTGTGTCTCTTGTCCACCAGAGGTCAGACTCACATGTCCTCTAACAGTTACAGGAGACATCACGGCGTCTCATTCATATTCCATACTTGAGAGGTGAGACAGGTTGAGACACACAGACAGGTAGAGACACACGTAGAGACAGACAGACACACACACACACACACACACACACACACACACACACACACACACACACACACACACACACACACACACTCACACACGCACACACACACACACACACACACACACACACACACACACACACACACACACACACACACACACACACACACACACACACACACAGACAGGTGTGGGGACAGGTAGCTATTGTGTATTGTACATACAGGTAGGCAGATGCAATAGAAAGCTTATTGGCTATCTTCCAGAGGCTCCGCCCCCCTCTCTTCTGTGTCGGCCAATCCCCTGTGAGGAGGGGCGGGCTCTGCAGGCTGCGGCGAGGGATGTGAGGATGAGGAGGAGCAGGAAGAGGAGGAGAGGGGGGGGTCAGGAGGGGGTTCAGTCTGTAGCCTCTCCCCTCCCCCACCTGACCCGGCAAACTGCAGGTGAGGCGCCTCCCTCTCCCCCCCCTCCAGGTAGGAGAGCTGTCGGAGGTCCAGCTCCATGGAGACCCCCTCCCCCCTCTCTCCCCCTGGACCCCCCCCCCTCCGGGCCCTGCGGGGGAGGCTGTCGGGGAGCAGGGACTGGATCTTTGGAAGCCAGCGTTTACGGACCCGCCGGGCGTTGGTGCACATGTCCGCCGCGATGACGTTCATCTCGCTCTCCTTAAAGTGAGGGGCGAAGTTCTGACAGTACACTGGGGGAGGGAGGGGGGAGGTAGGGGGGGGGGTGAGTACAAATAATAAGTATGGATACGTTTAAACTTTAACGCTGCTCTCTCAAACCTGTGGAATATTCTCCGATTAACGTCTTTTAAAAGTGTTTTAATGCTCTTCACACTCACTGATATTATCAACAGGTTTAAACCTTTATTAAGTTCTGCAGTGGTGTGTGTGTGTGTGTGTGTGTGTGTGTGTGTGTGTGTGTGTGTGTGTGTGTGTGTGTGTGTGTGTGTGTGTGTGTGTGTGTGTGTGTGTGTGTGTGTGTGTGTGTGTGTGTGTGTGTGTGTGTGTGTGTGTGTGTGTGTGTGTGTGTGTGTGTGTGTGTGTATGCCTCACGTTTCACAGTGTTTAGGATCCGGTTGTCCAGAGGTTTTCGGGTCGGATCATTGGTCGAGGAGCGGATTCCTGTCCCGCAGCTATTGGCCAGAGTGTTTCTATGAAAACCATAACAAGCCAATTATCACTCAGTTAGGATCACTGAACCCCCCCCCCCCCCCCAAATCTGAATGCCCAGTGTTTTATCCAGGGGGGAGCTGCGCAACATTTATCTTTTTTTAAAGTTAAGTTATGCTAAGCTAGGCTAACTGCAGACCCACCTGTCGAAGAAGGTAGCCAGCAGCCTGCGGAGCAGCACTTTGTGTTTGACTCCAGCACACAGGTGACAGTTCATCAGCTGCCCTCGAGTCATGAACACACCTGAACCTGCACACACACACACACACACACACACACACACACACACACACACACACACACACACACACACACACACACACACACACACACAGTATAATTGTACTGATATCCGAACATTGCAACAGTGGGTTCAGAGAGGACCAGGTGAGCCTCCTACCTGCCACCAGCTCCACCTTCTCCCCCGGGTCCCCCTCGGTGTAGAGTGACGGGTGGCAGCGGAACCCGATCTGACTGATCAGACTGGCCGGCAGTGCCATGTTGTCCCGACCAACCAGCACGCAGGGCCGCCGCTCGTTAGCCAATGGGAGGGATAGCATCTCCATCTTCTCCTGGACTGGTCCAATGAGAGTGGAGGGTGGGGTGTTTGAAAATATAAAACAAAGACAAGAGAGCGCTAGTCCCAAACCCTGGCATGACGCATTATGAGTTACGCTCAATGAACTTCTGCACTGGGTCATACCATTTGGTGACTTACTGTAGGGGTTTCCAGGATGTCCGTAGACGTGTTGGTAGAGTCCGGAGTTGACGGTGTTCCCGTAGTAATCCTCCTCCAGGTCCTCCTCGGTGGGGGGGTGAGAGGGGGGGGAGTCTGTGGGGAGGCTGGAGCCTCCCGGACTGCAGCGTCCCCCGCTGGCCAAAAGGTACGACTGCAGCCCCGGGACCAGACCTCCAGCTGCTGCCCCCAGGTAACACAGGGCGCTGCTCCTGGTGGAGTGCAGGTCCCTGGGGGTTTCTCCTCTGGGGAAACAACGAGAAAAACACATAAAACTCCACTAGCTGCTCACCTGGCTTCCTCACCTGCCCCCCCCTCCTCAACTGCCCCCCCCCCTCCTCACCTGCCCCCTCATCCTCACCTGGACTCCTCTCCGGCCCTCGCTGCCCCCCCCCTCCCCAGCTGGAGGTGTGTCGGCCCTCTCCTGTTTGATGCGACTGACGGCGAGGATCAGCTCCTCTGGGCTGAGGCCCTGCTGATCCTCCTGCAGGGGGGGGGCGTCGAATCCCCCGAGCTCGTCTGTTGAGGTGGTCTGTGGAAAGAACTCAGTTAGAAAAAGTGCTGATTTACTTCAGATTTAAAAACGACTCATGGGGGGCGCACAGGTGCCAAGGCAAACCCCTACAGTTAAGAATCAGACTCTGCCACAGTGACCCCCCAGGTCTACATTTCTGTGGGTGCAGCTAACCCACCTGAGAGTCGCAGCAGAGCGGCGAAGAGGAAGCCTTCATCATCATCAGCTCCATGCCCCGCTCCACGATGTTCTGGATCTGCAGGTACCCGGCCGTGTACATCAGCACCAGCTGCTCGCTGGCCGCCATGCTGAGCCGCCCGGTGTAGCAGAAGGACAGGATCTGCTGGAAACAGGTGGGGGTGACGGAGGAGGGCAGCTCGAACACGGCGGGGGAGGAGGAAGAGGAGGAGGAAGAGGCGGAGGAGTCGGAGCTGAAGAGGTCTCTGAAGTACAGCGAGGAGGCGGCCAGCACGGCGCGGTGGGCCTTGAAGGCCTGACCCTGCACGAGGACGGACACGTCGCAGTACTGACCGCGCAGACGCTGCTGGTTCAGGCTGACCAGAACGCTGCCGCCGAAGTCCGGGATCTCCACCTACAGGGACACATGCGGGGTCAGGGGTCTCAGCAGGAGGAAATGTCCATATCGACCAATCAGAATCCAGTATTCAACTATCCTCTTTTTATATTTGTGTTTTCGAGATTCAATCAGCACCGCCCCTCCTTCAGATGAACTAGGGTTGCCTTATACCTGAACAACAGTCCACTCTGATTTAAATCATCAGCCCCATCATGACCCTTTGAACCACAGGTCAACGTGACGCTGTTCACTGATTGGCTCGGGTCCTCCCTCCCCCCGGCCGTCCCATCTGCATTAAGTCCAGCACTGACATCTTTAATACTAATATCTACCTCTTGACACTGTGTGGTCCAAAGAGCACATTCTTTACACTTCTCATGTTTGTATAAAACTAAAATGGAGCAATCTGCACCTGGGGGGTAAAGAAGTATTCTGATTATAGTTAAAGACTAGGTAGTGTTTCTGGATACTCTGTACTGGTTCACTCCGGACTTTGGTCAATCAGGTTGTTCTTAAACTGTGGGATAAAAGAACCCCTGGTCTGACAGTAACCCCCCCCCCCCCCCAGTAACCCTGATCTTCTGACCTGCAGTAGCCCCTCCGACATGGTGGACGCCGTCAGCCCAGAGGTCGGGAGAGGATGTGGAGGCGAGCGGGAGGCGGTCCGGAGAGTCTAGGTGTCAGGGATCCTGCAGAGAGCACCGCCAAAACGCTTCACATCCATGTTGCCGGTGAGGAGAGGTCAGAGGTCAGATGCTGGACCGTCAGGGTGGAGGTCAGCACAGAAACAGCAGGAGGAGGAAGAACCTGAGAGGTCAGAGGTTATCGTCACTGGGTTGTGATTACACACAGAACAACACACATGCACAGAAACACACAAACACACTCTGTTAAACGGAGAGATGTCGAGCAACAGGCTGCTCCCAACCAGGGGAGCAGTCAGGGGTTCAGGGCGTTGCTCAAGGGCACCTCAGTACTGGGTCGTTCGGGGTCTTGAACCGGTGACCTTCTGGTTCCCAAGCTAAGTCCAAAGGCCCCTATGGACTGACCCTAGGGGAACCTCTGTACTGATATCAGCAGGCAGGACTGAGGGTTAGGACCACCAACAAGTTGTCCAAGGAACCTCGAACTGCTTCCTGTTCCTCCAACACACTCTCACTCCCTGAACGTCCAGGAGCGACGCTTGGTCAGTGTCCCGTGGCGTGCAGTTGGGACGCTCCGAGGCTCCTTCAGCTTCATAAACGGACGCAAAGAGCTTTCAACTGATTGCAATGTATTCCCATCGGCGGCGGGATTTGACGCTCATGGAAGCACCGCATCCGTCCATGTCGGCGGCTCTTCAAGGCAATGTGAGCGTCCATTCCCATTGGATAACGGAGAATTTTACACCTGGAAGTAAGTATTCTCCTTACTGTCGATTGATTTGACAGTGATATCTGCACTACTCATCAACTCAGAAACACCAGATTATCTTGTTAATTACACAACATTGATTGGTTTAAATTGTGTTCAATGCTTTTGTGTTTTTTCCCCTTCGATTCGGAGAAACAAATATTTGTTCGGAGTTTAGGATGGCAGAAGACACTACACTACCCAGAATCCTCAGCTATCGTTTAGGACTACACCATGTGCTTTGTTTGACAAACCCCGTGATTAGTTCTCAAGCTCTGTGATTGGTTGACCTCCAACTGCATTCCATATGAAAAAAAACGTTTGGTAAAAGATCAAATCATACTTTATTCAGCAGTGCTTGCTTTACTCTTTGAAAGTCATCACATGAATGCATTGTAATGAATGGTTTGGCTGCATTAAACATTACACATCTGTCGTAGTTCTTTATTTATCTACAGAGATCGGGCCTCAGAATAGACCGGAAACTATTCTTTTACCGTTCTGTTTTAATTTCACAATAAAGTTAGTAGTAATAATTTGTTTTGATATTATTGTTTTTTATGAACTATAGAGCGCTGGGTCATGTTAAGACCATCTCTTCTGTGTTGCTGTGGGTTTTTTACATCGCTTTTGTGTTACAAATATCAAAACAATAACAGAATATATCCGTCGTAAACTAAACCAGAAACAGCAGTATATTTTATTTTGTTAACACTGTAAACTTGACAGCTTTTTAACCCGCACCTCCTACTGGTTAAAGCACGTTATTACACGTTTAGAGTAATGCAATGCAGGTAGATTGGGTTGCTTTTTATTGACTGTTTAAAATGCCTTTTTCTTAATGTCTTTCATTTTTGTAAAGCACTTTTGAATGTGTTGTATTTGATGAAAACATTTAAATATTAAGAGTATATACAAAATAGGAGGAAAGTAGAAGGTCAATGATAGAAATATAGATGGGAATGGACGCTCACATTGCCTTTAAATGCCGCCGACATGGACCGATGCGGTGCTTCCATGAGCGTCAAATACCGCCGCCGATGGGAATACATTGCAATCAGTTGAAAGCTCTTTGCGTCCGTTTATGAAGCTGAAGGAGCCTCGGCGCGTCCCAACTGCACGCCACGGGACACTGACCAAGCGTCGCTCCTGGACGTTTAGGGAGTGAGAGTGTGCTTCAGGTGAATCCCCCAGTGGACAAAACTGAAACGTGCTCAGTCCGCTCGGTCTCAGATCTGGTAAACCGGACGCCAAGGGATACCAAGGTACGCTAAGGTACGCCAAGGGACACCAAGGTACGCTAAGGTACGCCAAGGGATACCAAGGTACGCTAAGTGTACGTCCACTTCAAATACTTAACTGCAATATACAAGGTCATATCTCCACAATCCAAAGGTACTGGGAGCTGATACTTGAACTCTGCCATGCACCCAACCCAAGGATTCAGCGGTGTGAAAATTGAGACATTTGGACAATGTCTAATTTTCCCGCCCTTTTTAAAAACCCGTTCTTTCAAATAAAAGCTAAAGTGTTGCTCGGATTGGCCTCAAAATCTCTACAGTGAGAGATGAAGCAGGCCGGATGAATAATCCATCGTCACATGCATGTAGCCCCGGGCATCTTGGAGATGTG